ATTGTTTGAACACCCACCGCAAGTAAATCAACAAGTTTGTAGGAAACTTTATTCCTTAAATATTCATCATACGCACTGGTGTACAAAATTTATTTAGGCTGCTGACGTACACAATACATAGTATCAAATCATTAATGTTTATATATGTAACATGATTTTTCAAGAGAAAAATTGTACAATAAAATTCTTTGAATAAAGTTCTCTCTTTATTTAAAATTTATTATCGTTCGATTTTATCGTATTTTGTTTAGTTTTGTTGGCATTTGTCATATGGCGTCAAGTAGAGCATAGCAGGCGGTGCACTCTAGTTAATGTGGACAGTAGCCAACTGGCCAACTGGCCAAAGACCAAAAGACACTAAACCCAACAGCAATAAAATATTACAAAACAGTCAAAATAATAATGTTATTGTCGCGAATATTACCAAACAGTACATGGCTACCCGGATTGGTATATTTCATTGAAATTCAGTTGAATATTTATACACTATATAAGCACTAAGTTCGAGTTGACTTTTGGCATTTCAATTGTTTTCAAAGTCAGAAACTACAACCAAATACATGTAAGCCAAAACTTTATCAAGATAGCAATAAAAAAATTACTGGAATAGAAAATTAAAATAGTGTGTAGAGGGGAAGTAATAGTTTTTCCCACATGTGGTCATGGGTCCTTTATATTACCACCATAAATTGTACAGAATACTGTAAACAATGCAACAAAATTGTTACTTTTTTGTGAAAAGTTATTTCATGATTATTTTATGACGTTTTTAGGTCAATAAAATGGTTTGTTACTTTGTTCACGTATTTTTTTATATCAATATAAAATTTATCATTAAAGTTTATAATTGAAATCTTTTTTTTTACACTAATATAGTAAACCTAGAGTTGTGTTCATATAGCGTTTACTATGTCAGATACTTCAAAAAATACAGCTAAAATTATTTTTATAAAAATACGTTCTTTACGGGGTATACAGAAATATGCTATAGGTTTTTTCTTATACAGAAACAGATAAGGTTTGTTGTTAAAAAATATATTATATTTAGTTAATTAATTAGTTGTTACATATATTGCTCTTGCGGTCAATATTTCCTAGGTCAATAACCTTAAAATAAAGGAATTGAACAAATAAAAAAACCAAAAATAAAATTTTATTTTTTATTTCATTTATTATTTTAATTAATTATAATTTAATTTCATTTAATTTTTGGTTAGAACACAATAATATCCTACGAATTCTGTTATAATGGTTGGAAAGCAATTTACTCTATGGTCGAATATAGTTCTTTTAAATATCTAGCAATTGCCTATTATGACTCAAAACTATTGGAAATATTATTTGATCGAAATAGAATTGTTTTAAAATTATCGGATGATAAATATATTTTCAGGAAATTCTGAAAACATTTCTAATATATCGCTTAACTTCACTTAAATTTAGACATCAATGCATTAAGATACTTGTACTTTTTGGCCACTTCTAAGGACTCCTAAAACGATTTATAAAACAACTATTTTTCTTTAGTTTTTAAACTCGTTATATGTTAGCTACTGCAAAATCTTACGAATTAGTATTTTGTACTATTCACACAGCTTAGTTATCGTAAGAGTTTTTGGCTTTAGTATAAAATCGTCTGCATATATAAAAATATTTATTGCCACAAAGACAATTGCTATACGATCTCATAGAATTTGTATTAAGTTATTAAAATATTATATGATATTAAAACGCCTTCACTGGGTTTTGTTACTAGATCAGTTCGTGTTGGTGTTCATATATCTAGCAATAATAATCCGATTACATCAAACAAACACGTATTCAGAGGTGATATTTCAAAGTTTAACTTTTTATAAAACATTTCTGAAATTCGTTACTTAAGTAAGAAATAAAATTGATTTGAAAATAAATGCAATATATAATGTAATACACTATGGGTTCTTCACTACTATAAAACTGCTACAAAAACGACGAAAAATATGTGTGGTTTATGGTGAGGATGCGCTTAGTGAACGCTGGACCCGAAAGTGGTTTATTCGATTTTGTTCTGGAAATTTTAATATCAAATATCCAGCTTAGTTAAACATTATTATTATTACTAAAAGAAGGGATTGTATACTGTGACCTAAAAGATCTATTGTCTAACTTGGGTTAGACTGTTTCTCCAAGTCCGATTTCTTTAATGAAAGACAGTATAGGGCCTATCATTGCTAGTCTTGAATCTTTATGATCCATGAAATACTCTCCTAGGTGTTTCTTCCGCTTGTGCATCAGTGCTGGGCACTCCCCAAGCCCAGCACTCCTAACTTCGATTAGTAAATCACTTAAAATGTTAAAAAAATTATGCAACTATGGAGTTGCACTAGACATTAATGATACGATGGTTTGAAATCATTAAATATAAGCAGGATACGCAAAGACGCTTAATGCTTGGATATCACATGAATTAATGCAAAAAAATTTGATAGAATGAATTATCATCATTAAAACGCTACTGAAACGCAATAAAATTCTTAACAATTTTGAAACGAATCATAATGGGCAATAAAAATAGAATATAAGACAATATCCAATGCAAGTAATCATGGTCAAAAGCAGGAAATTCTCTGCAAAAGCCTAGATTAATGCTCAACATGGTTACGTTGAGTATTTTGGGAGAGAATTGTTTAATATGGTTTAGTTTAGGTTAGGTTATACCGGTGATACATAGGGAATCCACTTAGACCTTTTAGAATCTTCTGCGTAGCTTAGAATGCTGTTTAGTGGGAAGTCTTGTAATTGATCAAGATACTTAAGAGAAGTGAGTCCTGAAGCGTTGAGTCGCCGTCGTGCATGAGCTGAGCAATTTAATAAAACTTAGTTGAGAAGCATGCACCGTATAACCGGATCTAGTGATTAACGCAGTCTACTACCATCTGAGATTGCAAATTTTTTCTTAGTACGGACTTTAAGCAATTTAAATTATATTCATTTATTGAACTTGTTTTTTTAAAAATGTAGAAGAAAGATTTTCTGTCAGTAGAATTGAATGTTGTATGAAAGCGTGTATAAAAAACACATACTTTTTCCTTTCTGTCTGCAGACTTTTGGTATTTGTATTATGGTAATACGTTATACACCGTTGAATAATTCTTCTTAAATATGAGCTGGTATATTTATTTTTATGTATTGGTAGAAAATATTTTCAGTACCATATTAGTACAAAGTTCTATAATAAAACTGTATAGTGCTTTTCCAAAATATAGTTCTTAAGGCTTTTTAATTTTTTTTTAAGTTCTTACACTCAGTCATATAGCAAATACGATCAACTTACTTTTGTATAATTATAATTCTTACTCACCCTCATATCATACGAGCCAATTGCGAAATTTAATTCTGATTCAACACCATTAAGAATAATAGAAATATTCTGTTCAGACTCATCACATTCTGCAAATAAAAAAAGGGAAAAAATACTTAATATTAAACTTTTTTAATGAGACCAAAAAGCATTTCAATTGAAACTAATTGAAAAGAACATCCAACAATTTGAAGGATATCTGATTGTTGTCACCAAAATGACTTGGTTGGTTTGTAACAAAAACAAAGTTAAAAATAAGGATTGTTTTATTTAATTCGATTATGATTTCGAAGCTCACAACGCACGTAATGTAATTTTCTGAAACTTTATGACGGTTGATTGTTTCTGCCTTTTGATGAAATGACAGGTTTCAAGTTGAAGTATTAAAAAGACAACATAAATGAATTGTCTGTTGCATATAAATGCAGCATTGTGTACAATATTATTTAATTAAATGTAAAAAAATATGCTCCCGCTTGAAAAAAAAAATATTCAGAAAGTTTCCACGTAGCGTATGAGTAACGAAAATTATATGAAATATTTATTACAAAAAGGAAGTATGCATTATTGCTTTATTAAAGTGGAAAAATCGAATTAATTAAATACACAAAATGTAATGGCTTAACTTTAAAAGGCAAATAAAGCAAATAAAGGCATAGTAAAGTGCATGAAAGATGAGCTGGACTTGCATTGAATTAAAAGGACCTCATGAGTGCATGCGCACCAAAAGTAAATTCAGTATTCATGCATTCACTTAAGTATAGCAGCTTTTTGTTTCAATGTTTGTTTTTTTTTGTTTTTTATATATAGCACTTACCAGGTCCATCGTATGCATTTATGCAGTCTGAAGTACGGAATTGCGAAACAAGCGCCTGTTTGCCCACGCCTGATGAACCTAACATTTGCACACGAAATATTTCGACTTGTTGATGGTTCGCAAATGTGTTGGCATCTGAGGCATTGTTTTCAGCGGTGCCGGCGCGTTGATGTATTGGACTGACTGGTGCCAAACTGTTACTACGCGAACGTCGTCGTCTAAAGGAATCGCCACGGTTAATGATACCTGCAACAGAGGAAAGTTATTAATAATTTTAAACAAATACTTGGGCCGAAGGTTGAGTGCAATGTAATACGAACATAATTGACTTTGTTAAGAATTTATTATCCTTAACTTTGGTATCGAAATAAATTAACTTAATTTGCAATAAAATGGATTTAGTACTTGTGAAAACACGATTTCACTATTGGAATTGGAATATTTGTAGACGATATGAAATTTTTGAAAGTTGCTGTAGTGCATTAAAAAATTTTTATCTTTTAATTATTAAAAATCTTATTTTAAAAATTTTTTATTTCGTTTTTTACAAAGAATATTTTAATTAGATTTCTCATATGATTAACTGTCATAAAAATACTTTTTTGTTTTTTAATAAAAAGGGTGGGCAACGAGTGAGTACTATTACATTGTAGTAATTAGATTCAATCAAAAAATCAGATAATAAGAAACAAATTACATCTGCTTTGAAATATACCTTTAATGAAACAATGAAAGAGAAAAATTAATAAGACAAACTACATGAAAATAAATTAAAATATATTACAGTATGTGAAATATGTATTAACATACATTAAGACTGAAAAAATATGAAATAACATTTAAAATTCGAGAAAAGATAAAAAACGAAATAAAATAGCTCAAAATTTAATTAATTAAAAAATAATTAAATTTTGTTGATGTAATTTACTATGGTTTGAAAAACCCTTCAGTACAATAATAGTTTAGGTATACTAACAAAATAGTTCCTTCCATCATAACTAACTTTAACAATGAAATTGCATACAAATTAAAGCTGCTAAATTTCAAATCTATTAATTTTATAGATAAAAATTATTATACTAATGCAGCATTTCATACTAAAACTTAGTTTTGGTACCATAATATTTTTTATAATTATTTCTTTTTCTCATAGTAATCACGGTTATGTATCATCAAAGGCTATCAATCACAAAGTAAATGATAAAGAGAGATAAAGAGAAAAGCGATGTATTTGATATAGGTACAATATACAAATATATCATTATATTCTGGATTATTATATATTTACTAAAATCTATCTGATGGAACTCTATTCTTACCCATTAAATAAACATATTGTAATTCTAAAACTAATACTTTAGTATTCAAGCCTATAAAAAATATGAGCATAAAGTAAAGCTATTACTAGTCTGGTTATTATTTTATTACTAAAAACTCGAATCAACAACAAAAATACAGGGTTTCTTAGTCTATTAGATATCTAAATTTAGCAATTACTAACTTGACAGACTCTGGTCAACCTAACATCTTTCAGAGATAAGACTAAAGGACATCAAAATATGCAGGTTCCCAGAAATTTTTTTTGATTTCTTTTTTTTTTGGTTCCCAGAAAAAATTTGATTCTATTTTTTCTCCTCTTATCTATCTGTTCATAATTCAGGACTGTCAACAGTCTTATACTTTCATTTGATTTTTATTGATCAAAAGAAGGACTAAGATCCTAAATTACTAAGTATTATAAAGTTCCACAATAGCTTAAATTTCTTCTGTTTAGCTTGGGAGTTTATTTCTAAGGATAATATTGCTGATTTGATTGGTTGAGGTGTACCATTATCCTTTCTGGTAATATGTAGGCTGTCTTTTAGGTCTATCGCTTTTGGGGTCTTGTGTTTTTTACACCGATTCTGAAATGTGTCTTTGCTAAAAAAATGGAATTAATTAATAAACATTTTCGTGCTAAGATTTTTTACGATTTTCAACGCGGATTAACCAGAAAAGAATGTATCGATCAACTAAGTTCGATATTTGATGATGAAACACTATATCCAGCAACTGTAAAACGCTGGTTCAATGAGTTCGACGTATTTGGAGAGGGTCGCTCAAAAATGGCTGTTGTACCAGAAAACATTGATGCGGTGCGAGAAATGATTGATCGGCATGTTACAGATCGGCATGTTACAACCGGGAGAAAGATTTCTTTCCATTGGAGAAGATACGTTAGTTACAATTCGAATTATAAAATGCACTTTTTCACATTCCTATTGGCACGTGACAATATTTTTATTTGACTTATAAAGAAATTCGAGTTATAGAAGTTCTTTCCGTTGGATTTCTTATAATTTGACCAATACTCAAAAGAAGATACGTTTGATTGGTGCAAGAAACTAATGAACAAACACGGCCAAAGTAGCTCAAAAAATGACTGCGTCATCGTTGATACATTTGCTGAAATTTCTTATTTTATTGCATTCGTATCATTTTATTGCATTAAAACTTCAATTAATCAATATATATATAAGGTATATATATAAGGTATATATATAAGGTATATAAGGTACGTATCGTTTAACCAAAATAATATATACTGCAGTTATACCACCCATATTTACTAACTGGAACTAGTTGTAAACAACTTGACAGTGTTACTTTTATTCAAAGCCATAAAAATTGTCAATTGGAATTTATCTAAACATCATAAATTAATATAAATATTTAAGGACATATGCTCCTTTTTATCGTATAAATCTCGACGTTAAATATTTTTTTTGGTAATAAAAAGTTATGTTCCTAAAAAAGGAAAATTTAAAATGAAAACTAAATTTTAATTACTTGAAAGTTTCATCAGTGCTTGTGCATGGCGAACTATGGCAACAGAATTTTGTATGAGTTTCCATAAAGAGCAACGGTAATCTGCCAGTGTTCACAACTTCTGGTGCATTTTAGATGCAACAAAATGTTGCCAACTTTCAATGAGAAATAATAATAAAAAACTATTTCACTTCATTGCGTTTTATGGAATCGTATCTACGGTAAATACAAACAAAAATATTTTCATGACAACAACAAAAGCAGGGACGGGCTTTAGCGCCACTACTTGTACTGCTCAAAATGCAGACAATAATTTCTGGCTGTGGTAATTAAGGATAATAAAGGGTCCAATAGCTACAGTTGTGTATTTCCATGTTTTCATTTATATTTTATATGACATTTCATTTAATAGCAAAAAGTAGTCTTGTTGCAACATACTTTTTAAATAATAAAAAATTACTTCAGTTGCACTCGGAATTTTAGAATTTTTTATATCAGTTTTAACAAACTCTTTCAAAATTAATCATTTTCATAAAGCACTTTTGTTTGTTGACAGTAGATTTCAATAGCACAACATTACTATAAATTATTTTTAGTTTTTTATAATTGAAAATAATGTAATCATAAAAACCACTAACGATCCATATTCGAAAAAAAGATGGTGAGAATAAAAAATTGAAGTGGACTTACAAAAACCTTATACTGTCTTAATTTTAGTATATACTATATCAGCAATGGTAAACCTTTATACAAACTCATGGTTAATATTAGAATTTGAACTTTAAAAAAACTTGTTTAATAAGTGAAAACAAACAAAAAAAAGAATAGTCCTTTACCACATGTTCGATATTATTTTTGCACTTTTTATGACGATTTAGAAATCTGTTATGTCTCATTAACGTATCATTAACGCAATTTTTCCGATCTAAAATAAATCCTGAAAATATAGTGGAAAAGATGAAAGCGAACCTAGACAGTTGGCGAACGATAGAGTCATATGTGATTCAAGTTCTCAAAACGAAGAAATTAGATCTAGAAAGGAGAACCAGAAACTAGAATAAGAAATATAATCAATAGAGTGGACACCAAGACAATACGGTGAAAAGTTGTGGTCTGGACGCAGTTCAAAAATCAAGAGAGCGTGGATTGAAATGCCAACATAAAAGAGACCCTTCTCGAAGTAATGCGAAAGCGGTTCCGATGGGAAATAAGTCTCGCTGAAAAAGGGATGTTTTAGTCCGTGTACTAACATATTAATGTTAGGGAATCGAACACACCATACTGATTACGGTCGGTTTGACGGTGCATAAAGCATTCCTCCTCCTCACCACAAAAACAAAAAAAAAAGAATTTCCTCAATAAATTATAGTAATTCACATTCACACTTTATTTTACTCAGTCTTATTTCTTCATCCGCTATAAGCTGTATAGAAATACTTAAGTATTTCTTTCGCTTATACATCATTGCAAAGCGTACTACAAGCAGCGAAGCAGAAAATAAGTTACCTCAAAAGGATTCAGTACTGTAAGATGACCCTCAGTAAAGATTTTGTTTTGACAAAGTCAACATTATATACAGAAATAAATATATGATCTTATTTCCAATTACAAGCATTTTTTAAACCTATTTATAATTTGGATGGCCCTATAAATAGATAACTCTGTTATCTATAACCAAAAAATGGTTATATGTTATCGTCCACTATGGTTATATCTTCTTTGTGTAAAATTCTTTTTTATTGATTCAAATTATAAAAATTTGTAGGAATAATCAAAATTTCAGAATCCATTTACTCTAGCTCGATGTGGCCACCTTTTACCTTCACTATGGCCTTGAAACGGTTACAAGTTGTAAGTTGTATGCTTCACGGATGTGATCTTCCGGTATTTTCACACATTCCTAAACAATTGCTCTCTTCAGCGCATCCATACTCGCTGAAGTCCTGATTTTGCTTTTTATAATAGCGCAGATGGAATCGTCCATCGGATTTGCATCTGGCGAATTCGAAAGCCATCGTATTGATGAAATGAAGTGTGAAACACAGTTTTTTAACCATTCTTAATTCACATGAACTCTAAAAACAGTGCCGTGTCTTGTTGAAATTTCATGGTCTACGACCAAAATTCATGTTTGCATGCGCACTGCTCTAAAGCAATTTCCAAAACATTTTCCTAATAAGTCCCGTCGCATTGACTTTGACACGAGGCTCAATGAATACGATTGGAAAGCGTCCAATTTACAGTAATTTAACCAATTATCCAAAGGTTTAGATTCTCCACAAGCTACTCTGCGACTTTTTATTAAAATAGTTTAGTGAGAGCTAACTGAAAGAGTGAGAAAGTGAGAGTCTAATTAAATAAATATTAAAGCATGTTGATTTTATTTACTTTAAACCACGCTGCCAGTGATTGACATTTGTACAAAAAAGCAACATAAGAAAAATTAAACATTTGGTTTAGAAAAAGGGACTTACCCTAACACCAGAATGGATTCATACCAAAAACAAAAATTCGACTTATAGAATGCACTTTCCCACATTCCTATTGGCACGTGACAATATTTTTATTTGATTTATAGAGAAATTCGAGTTATAGACCAACGGTTGCCACTTGAAAATTTTTTTCTGTACCAAAATTGGTTTAAAAAGGTACCATTTCTGTAAAAAAAGGTCCCAAATTTTTTGGACCTTTTTGTTTTCTCGTTCTGTGTTTTTCATAGTGTTATAAATGAATAAAATATAAAATAGTGCAAAGTTGCATTTATAAAAAAAATTAATTGGAAATATCCACAATAAAGTTGGGTCGTCAAAAATGTACCATTTTTTGAACGTGAGTACCAAACAAAAAAAAAAAAGTACCAATTTTGGTACTAAAGTACTATAAGTG